GGCGTTTTGCAGAAAATCGCTACTGCGCGCTCAATATCAGTCCGATTTTCATCAAATTTTCACCAAATGTTCTCCAGTGCATGCAAAATATGGTAAAGTTGTAAAATTAACAAACAATAAAATAATGTAAGAATTATTCAGGAAAATCTTAAATCGCGGTACCGTTACGCTTTTGAGTTATGTTCCTGCTGGTTTTAAGTTATATTTATGAAAATATCATTTTTATACAGTAAAATAGTTGTTCTAAAAAATTGTGTTCGGAAATTTTTGTTTATTTCGTCATTCCGCTGATATGGCGATTTCTTTGACAACTGCAATATATTTCTGAATTGTTTTAGTAAATTGCTCTTTATTTTTAAAATATCCAAAATTAAAAAAAAGCCGAACACAATTTTGAAACTGACGTCTTTAGCTATGTCCTGTGAAAATTTGAGAAAAATTGGTTAAAACCCGCAGGAGAACAACTCGTTTGAAAATCAGTAATTACCGTAAAATTTTTCGGGAGAAAATTGAATTTGAATATTACATTTTCAATGTTTTTCTTATTGCAGCGAAATGTATTTTATTAAATAACTCTGCGAGTTTTCAACATTTTCCGTTCAAACTTGGTCAGATAGTAGAACTAGTCTAATGCTTTCATTGAAACCAATAAAAAAATTTTAGGCAAAATTAACACTCAAAGGTGTTCTGTAACCTTAAACAAACAATCTATCTATCTATCTATCTATATATATATATATATATATATATATATATATATATATATATATATATATATATATATATATATATATATATATATATATATATATATATATATATATATATATATATGTTTATTGTATGAGTATTGAATTTTATACGCGATAAAGTTGTCGAATAAAAACCATATGCCTAACATTTCTGAGGATCTCATTGGAACGTCGTATTAGCCTTCTCATTGGACGTACAGAATTTGTCACTAGTGAAAAATTTCGTATTTGCTTTTCCCGCCGCGCCACTGGCGTACAAGAAAACAAGAATCAGTTTTTTTAGATGTCCATTCGACTTTAGATTTGAAATGGCTTCTCGCTTCGCAGAGACACCATCCGTAAGCGAATTCATTGAACAACAGGGGCCGATTGTATAAAAAAGTGATTAAAGTTAACTATAGTTAGTGGAAACGTCATCCAATAAAAAGCGCGTATTTGAGAGTTAATCACTATTTAACTACAAAATAGTGATTAAAAAAGTGATTAAGAGTTTTATACAACGGCCCCTGGTTATTTCAGCAGCGAACGAAAAAGAGTTAACTACTTTTTAACTGCAGTTAGCGCTAACTACGTTTTTATACAACCGGCCCCAGATGATCGCAGTGATACGTGAAACTCGGAGTAGAGACAAAAAACATTTTAAGTAAGAATAGTAATTATATATATATATATATATATATATATATATATATATATATATATATATATATATATATATATATATATATATATATATATATTTGATCTAGACAAAAATTTCATCACAGCTTGAAAAAGCATCACAAAATTAGTAATATTCCAAAGTTTTAGTTGCGAAATGTTGTAAAATGCGGATAATATAGCCATGCAAAGTTTGCCGTTTTTCAGTCATTTTGTATTACGCACGGGAAATTGACAGCCCAATCGGGTGTTGGGGCATCAATTTCCCGTTTGTAATACAAAATGACGGAAAATTGCAAACTTCGCAAGGCTATATTTTCCTCATTTTACAACATTTCGCAACGAAACTTTGGAATATTACTAATTTTGTGATGCTCTTTCAAGCTGTGATGAAATATTTGTCTAGACTTGCCTAGATCAAAATTTTGGTTATAAGAGGAAAGGTCTATTAACCATTCGCCTTATTTTAACGATAATAATCGAAATAGGGGAAACCTAACCCCGACCCAACCCCCCCTCCCTAACCTCTAACCCGTAACCCCCAATCCCACATTAATCATAATCCTCTTGGAGACCTTTTTTTAAAAAAAATGTTCTGGTAAGTGTTTTGAATTATTGTCTGCATCTTCTGTAACAGCTGTATGCCACGATTCTAATGTTTTTTCTAATCCGATAATTTCCTTTATCTATAATTTTTCCTCTCTTAAAATCAATGTTGTGTGACAATTCCCAAGCATGTTTGGCTATATTTGAATTTTTCTCAAATCTCTCTGTAGAATCGTGGCATACAGCTGTTACACATGGTGTAGACAATAATTCGAAACACTTACCAGAACAATATTCTATTCTTTTAAAGAAACACTAATTACATTCCCTGTGAATATTTTGATATATTGCATGCTCACTAATAACTTAGTTACAGTTTGGTCATCGTATAAACTTCAATATAAATAGGTCACCGTATGCTTAGTTAGTTACCCATTGAAGGCTATGGGTCTGATAGACGAAAGCTCATCAAATAAAATATTTGGTCAGAGAACGGAATTTAACATTTAATTAATAGTTTTTTATTAAATGCAAAAAAGATCCGGATGAACTCAATAATAATTAAGAATATACCCGGATACATACCATTTCAGTGATGAATAATGTTGATATAAATGTACTACTTCCTACCTTTTAGTGGGAAAGTTTCGAACGAAAAAGGGAGAAACACAGACCAAATAATTTAATTCCAATTTTAAATTATCTAATTTTAGATCAGACAGAAGATCTGGAGGACGCGGCTGAAGACGAGCCAGAGGACCCGGTTGAAGACGAGCTGGTTGAAGCCGAGCTGCAAGAACTGGTTGAAGCCGAGCTGGTTGAAGCCGAGCTGCAAGAACTGGTTGAAGCCGAGCTGGTTGAAGCCGAGGCAGAGGAACTGGTTGAAGCCGAGTCGGAGGACTTTATTGTGGACCTGGTTGAAGTCGAGCTGGAGGACCCGGTTGAAGCCGAGCCGGAGGACCCGGCTAAAGCCGAGCCGGAGGACCTGCTTGAAGACGAGGATTTAAAAGATTTGTATTTTAGAGCAACGCTAAATCTTTTCGACGGCATGGAAATGCTCGAAGAACTCCTGGAACATGGATTGCATGGAAGTGACGTTCCACAATGCTTAGAAATAACCGTATTGGTCTTCGTTTGCCTTTTTTATATTTTCTCATTCCTTGAGCTTCTGCATTTAGCATTTCAAGGCAAGAAAGACAATGTGGAAGGAGCAACAACCTTGAACCAAAATGACGACGAAAAAGAGAAAAGCAGAAAGAAAAAATGGAGAAGGACTCAAGCAACAAACACTGGTTTCCAAATTGCCCTGAATGGCGTATTTTTTGGTCTACGTATAACAATGTGGCGCGAGTATAAGCGTGACGCGGCAATTTTTCTCGCGAAAAATTTAATCTCGATCGTTATGAATGTGATGCCATATTTGATTTCCTTTGGTTGCGTTGATGATAAGAGTGATGATGATGATGGTGATAATGATGGTGGTAATGATGATGGTGGTGATGATGATGATGGTGATGATGATGATGGTGGTGGTGGTAATGATGATGGTGGTGATGATGGTGATGATGATGGTGATGCATGATGATGATGATAATGATGGTTTGTGGCAATGGTGATGATGATGGTTTGTGGTGATGATGATCGTGATGGTGATGATGGTGGTGGTGATGAGATGGTCAATGGTGGTGATGATGGTGGTGAAGATGATGGTGGTGATGATGATGGTGATGATGATGATGGTGGTAATGATGATGGTGGTGATGATGATGATGGTGGTGATGATGATGGTGGTGGTGGTAATGATGATGGTGGTGATGATGATGGTGATAATGATGGTGATAATGATGATGGTAATGATGATGATGATGGTAATAATCTTGATGGTAACAATGGTAACTTTGGTGGTGATAATGCTGGCTTTGTAAATGCTGATGAAACAAGGCACAAAGAGTAACGTTTTTTCATATTCTATAGTACGCATGTTATCTTTGAAGCATTATTAAACCTTCTTTTCAGACAAATAGTATAAACAAGAACCTCATAGATTGTACTCGAAAAATCCCTTGTAAAAATAGTGGATGAAAGACAGTATGTATGCAGATTTTGTAACAAAAACATTTTTCTCAATTTAGTTTCTTCTCGTGCATCAATATTGAATTGCCTCATGATGGTATAGATATAGAT